GCAAGATATCTGAGTAAAAAATAGAAAGAGAAGACCGACCTTAGCCTATTGAGGCAAGATCTCAGCCGAACGAACTTGACCATCGAGCTTTGGATCGATACCCCGCCCACCTCCCTTCTCGTGTTAACACACTAACGAATGAAATCTCACATATGTATACTGACTCGTTACTACTACTTGAACCTTACCTACCCGAGCTATAATACAACCAGATAGCCTAGGACCTTCAATCGATCGGCTAATCCGCTCAAGCAAAAGAATATAAGAGGAAATATAACACACTGCGCAATTAGACCTATGTGCCTTATCATCCCTAAAGAAGACTCCTTCCCTGTTGCGATGGATTCCGTCCTATCGGGCAAAAAGCTTATTCAGGCCCTTCCTCGGCTAACTATTCGCCTTTTGGTTAACCGGCTTTGGGTGCATCCAACATGCTGAAGTTTTAGACTTTGCAAACCTCGATAACCACCCGCTCCTCTTTGAATAAGGAGCTTCACCCTTTAGAAAAGACTCCCACTCCTAAACAGAGAAGAGCAAGGTGCGTAGCGGAAATAAAGTCTTTTCCTTCTTTCCCATCGGGATGTCAATCAAATTCCTTCTATCCGCTCTTACAGAATCCGCTGCACTATTGGGCTAACTTGAATCTGGGTAAGAAGACTAGCTTTCCGTACCGACAAAAGCATACTATGAAAAATCTTACCGCGTAGTAGGAAGAGATGGTGCTATCCTATATATATAAGAAAAAGGCTGATAAGATCATGCTTCTTTGTAGTATAGGAGTGAGCTCTCCCTTCTTATATAAAGAAGAGTTCTCTTTGGACTTATTTCAAAGGATAGAAAGGAGAATAGTCCTGCTTCCTTGCCTTTAGTAAGAGGAAGTTTGTTTTCACTCTTATGAAACCGGAATTAATTGAATACGAATTAAGCCACTACGCGCTAACTAGAAAGATCATAAGAGAAGATGCCATCGAATCGGCTCTTAGAGATTGAAAGCTAGCTCCGGGGGTATGGAATGACTTATATAATATAAGAGATCTCTCTTAGGATACCCCACGGAGAGGGAAGAAGGCCAGTTAATCAGCTTCGGGAAAGAAGGAAGCAAGCGAAGCAAAGGAGCCAAGACAGTAGGACGGTTGCTAGCACGACTTATGGCTTTCTAATCTCTTTCTTTCCCCTCGGGATGTCTGTGCAAGCCTGTCTCTTTATAGATAGTCATTCCTTTCTTTCCTTTGTTAGAGAATCACCTCTCTCTGGTCTGGTAGGAATTCCCTCTCTTCTGTAGTCATGCCAGTAGTCAGCCAGGGAGTGAGGAAAGCCGCTTGAAAGCCAGTACGGTACCACTCTCTCCGCTATAAGAATTGAGTAAGCCGATCCCGGTTTGAGCCGAGCAGCTTTAGCTGGTAGAAAGCGGTTAGCGCCTGTCGTAAAGGGTATTAGGTTCTGAAAGAAGACCTGAATACCCGGTTGTGACAATGACCATTTTTCCTATTGATTTGAGTGCCGATATTATCGTGTTGTAAGATATTAAAGGTTGACAAGGTACGCGGGACGAAAGGGCGATAGGCAAAGTAACAAAGTAAACCTTCTAAGCTTCAGTTAGTGTGCAACACCCATAAGGGTTGTCAGTTAGACTTCCTCTGAGCACGCAACAAGTTGTCCAGAGTTAGGCTTAGCCGTACTCCGTCCAAAGAGTAGGAATAGTAGTCATCGACCTAGTTAGTCGTTCAGAGCGGACCTGAAGAGATTTATGGACTAGTTAATTATGTAAATAAATAAGGACGCTGGTTTAAGATATATATATGCCATTCAGGCTCATAAGAAGACTAGAAAGTGTAACAATAAGGAATCAATCTATTCTTTGGGACTGAACCAATATTAATATTAAAGCTAGCTCTTCTCGCTTATCCGGAGGATCCTCGCTTTGTCTAGACAGCGATACAAGCAGTCCCCTCGTTGTAAAACCTTTTGTTTTCAATTTCATAACTGAGGGCAACCGGATGCACTCCATTGTGCGAGTTTCCAATGATGCCAAGATATGGAAGAAAACGGTAAGATCTTTCGTTTCGAGTCGGAGGAAGAACATAGTTCTAGCTCGTTTTTAGGGTTGTTAGCCTTGGCAATCTATAATAATATTATCCTCCTTCCTCCTTCTTTGTAAATGAAGAGTTCTATCGAGGAAGCCATTGCGCTTTCCCATTCATCCCGCTAGTGCAAAGCCTTCATATGAGAAAGAAACCAGCGAGATACATGGATCTAAATATAAAGAAAGGGTTTTTTCAAGTCTAATATTACAGGCTTCAGTTCAGCTGTTCCTAGACCAGAGCGAACGGTCGGGTAAGCCGGTAAGCCCATCAAAGTAGGCGTGTCTTTCCATTTCCTTGTCTCTAAAAAAGAGAAGAAAGAGGGATTACCTCGATTATAAAGTCAAGAACTCATAGAAAGAATTGGATATGATTGGTTTTGAATTCCTTTCTAAGGCTTGACCTGCTATAGATATAATAGGAAGCTCTGGAAAGCATGCAACAAAGCCAACGAGAAGCTTGATGGAATCAAAACAAACCCAGCCAGCCTTTGAGGGTTCCTGTCGAGGTAGACTCAGATGAGTCTGAACCCGCTTCGAGAACCAGATCTCATTGGGAAGGAAAAAGAGGACAAAGCCGCTCGAAGTGCGCCTTCCTCTCTTTGGACTTGACACTTAGATAGTTAGTAAGCTTCTACGCTATGATCTTTCTTCTCTTATTCTAATTAGAATAGAAGGATAGATCACTCATAAATGCTACAATTATGCCCACAATCGGATGCTAGAGGAACTGAACTGCCAATATGTATATAAATATCTTAAGTATGAAAGGGATCCCCTAATGCCCATATTAGCAAAATCTGACTCAATATGAACTGCACTTAGACTTGCCTCTATGGCTTGTCTTTCTAGTGGACTGAGAGAGCGAGCTCTAATCTAAAGGAAGAAGCAACTCACATACTTCATGTCAGATCTTAGAATGGATGCACAGAATCCACAGCTGTTGAATCCGATCTTTGAAAGAAGGAAGAGGCATATGCCAGAACAGGTTTCACGAATGAATCCCTGTTAGGACAAATAAGCTGCTTGGGTCTCCCTTGGTTTGCTAGAATAGACTCTTAGATGGACAGAATGCCCCATTTCAGTCTATTGGTACCTAGAGACAATACAATCTTGACTTTCTTTCCTAAGCTTGAATGTGGCGAAAAGCAAGGGACTGCAGGAGGTATAGCAAGCGCAGTCGGTAGTCTGGTCTGATGTATGCTATGTTGTGTACTCGACCCGACATGTGCTTCGCAGTTGGGATGGTTAGCCGATATCAGAGTCATCCAGAAAGTGCTCATTGAGCTGCAGTAAAGAGGAAATTTCGACATCAAACGGAACCAAAAAACTAGCTTTGTGCTACCAAGGTGGAAATCTCAGTTGACTGGATATAGTGATTCAGATGGGTCTGCTGATAGGGATGAACGAAAACCCACTTCTGGCTACACCTTCATACTTGGCGGAGGAGCCATTACGTGGTGTAGTAAGAAAGAAGGAAATCCTTATCCATGATGGAATCAGAGTTTGTAGCCTGCTCAGTTGCAGTGATGGAGGCTATATGGTTAAGGAGATTCTTGCAAAGTTTGGACATTCCGGGACATATAGATAAAGCCGTTGTGATCTATTCTGATAACACGGCTGCAATAGCTTATGCAAAGGATCTCAAGTTCCGTGGTAGAAAAAAAACTTACATGGACACCCGACTTCACTTCATTTGGTTATGAAGTATATCTCCACCTATGAAATGGTTGCTGACCCTTTGACCAAACTCATTTCTAGAGATGCGTTAAAAAGGCATGTTAGGAGTTTGGGATTGCGTAGGATTTGATATACTTTAAATAAAAAGTATATGTTGAAAGGTAGCTACGGAATTGCTCCTATTACAAATCCCCGGGGATTCACTCCTACCTTATAGTTACCGCCTCGTGGGTGGGTCCTTCAACTGGTATGAAATCACTAATGGGAGGCGGTTATCTGAAACCTTAACATAGTCATATTCAAGTTATCCCAATAGTCAATGAGCAGGAAGAGGTTTAGGAAGTTAATTCAAGCAAGAAAGGAAAGTCCATTGACTTGGCTACGCCACACCAACCCTATGATTCCCATCGAGAAAGAAGAGTTCACAGCTACCGGCACCGACTCGAACTAAGAAGAGCTACTTAACAACTACCTACTATTAGGTAGTGCCCTCCTCCAACAACGGGGCTAATGCCTACTCTTCAAAATGAAACTTCCCTTCTTCCAAGAGCTAAATCGATGGCACTAGGGATCTATCCTAAAGAAAGAATTGACTGACCTTGCGCCGGTATCATTTAGCGGAACTCCTGTTTACCCTGCAGGTCTGTAACTCCCATATGAGATTTGAACCTCATTCCTTCACCTGTGCTTGGTAGGCACTGTTTGTGGAGCCCTTTGGTAATACCAGAGGTGAGATGCCTTCCTACGGCTCACCATGAAATGGGCCATGTGGGCGAGTCAAGTGGGTTCTCACCGTAAGAGAATGTCGTCTTTTCGTTCAGTCGAATAGAAACTATTAAAGCAAGCGTGTTTGAATTCTGATCGCTTTTACGCGAGAAAGGGGGACCACCCTCTAAGCCTAAGTATTCCTCAATGACCGATAGCGTACATCCCAGAAACTATTAAAGCAAAGGCCGTGGATAGAGAGTGATAAAGGGGGAATAGTATTTGTTCTTTCAGCCTATTCTAACATTCGAGTTCATTCTCGATAGTCAGATAGTGAAGTTCGAAGGGGGAAGGAAGACTTGAGCAGTGGGTCTCGACTCGGCCAACTGTCTTTATGAAGACTGACTGACGACAAGAAATGACGTAAGTAATAGATAGAATCGTTCAGTACGCTTATATGAACACTTTCATTTTTCGATTGAGAAAGCGGCAGGCCCAAAGAGCTCTGCAGTAGCGCCTTGCGAGGTCGTAGAGCCGCCTAGTTCGCCTAAGATCGAAAATGCTCTGTTTGTGATTGAGACTGAAGATATAGAAAGTGTTCCGTGAATTAATTTCAGTCTTTACTTAACTCGACCCAAGCGATGCCTTTCTACTCCCATGCCTTTCTTTGGTCAACAACCAAGCACAACTCTCTTTTCACCGCCAAAGAAGTCTGGCGTAAAACAAGACTTCACCAGTCCCGCTTACCATAAGCGGGCAGAGCAAAATAAAAAATGTAAAAAAATGGACCAAACCGTTGTAATTCAATATATTTTGGAGCTAGCAAGCACTTATGTGATACCCGCTGCTATTTTGACCCTTTCGACCTGGCGACTTGCCAGACTCCGCAGCTTAACTCCGGATAATTACCAAGAAAAAGTACGTGAGACGCTCGAAAAGAATATAATAGATCAGATAAGCGAGCGCCTTGATAGTCTTTTTCGGGACTATGGTCTGACCCCACCAACCCAGTCGACCCCCTTTGCCATAGTGATTCAACGATTGCTTAATGATAATCATAATGAAGACAAATTGAGTTATTTAATAAATATGTACAACAGCTTGGTCGAGCTAGGGCTATCTAGCCCGTTTTTCGAGCAAGTACGTCTCTTGGTGTTACAAATTCTTGCTGGAGGCTGAGTTAAGCAGGTATCATTTTAGGAGTAATCGGTAGCGTAGTCCCCGCGTAAGCTATTGCATAGTTTTTCCCTGTCCTTTTTAATTGCTTATTTTGCTCGGTGAGGGCATTGATTTTTTTTTCTTCTTTCTTTCTCCCACGTAGTTCGTTGGTCAAACCAACGATTCTCTTCTCAAAGTAATAGAGAGATTCTAGTTAGACTTCTATCAATGCAATGAAAGAACCATCCCTTCCGTCCTGTCAGATAGAAAGATAATTAGACCCAAAATACTTCTTTACCACTTTTGGGGGTGGGGGTGAAGGGGAGGTTGACATACAACCGAGTAAAAGTTCAAAATGATTGAATCTCAAAGGCATTCTTATCATTTGGTAGATCCAAGTCCATGGCCTATTTCGGGTTCACTCGGAGCTTTGGCAACCACCGTAGGAGGTGTGATGTACATGCACCCATTTCAAGGGGGTGCAACACTTCTCAGTTTGGGCCTCATATTTATCGTATATACCATGTTTGTATGGTGGCGCGATGTTCTACGTGAATCCACGTTGGAGGGACATCATACCAAAGTCGTACAATTAGGACCTCGATATGGTTCTATTCCGTTCATCGTATCGGAGGTTATGTTCCTTTTTGCTTTTTTTCGGGCTTCTTCTCATTCTTCTTTGGCACCTACGGTAGAGATCGGAGGTATTTGGCCCCCAAAAGGGATTGAGGTTTTAGATCCTCGGGAAATCCCTTTTCTTAATACCCCTATTCTCCTTTCATCCGGAGCTGCCGTAACTTGGGCTCATCATGCTATACTCGCGGGGAAGGAAAAACGAGCAGTTTACGCTTTAGTAGCTACCGTTTCACTGGCTCTAGTATTCACTGGCTTTCAAGGAATGGAATATTACCAAGCACCCTTTACTATTTCGGATAGTATTTATGGTTCTACCTTTTTCTTAGCAACTGGCTTTCATGGTTTTCATGTGATTATAGGTACTCTTTTCTTGATCATATGTGGTATTCGCCAATATCTTGGTCATCTCACCAAGGAGCATCACGTTGGCTTTGAAGCAGCTGCATGGTACTGGCATTTTGTAGACGTGGTTCGGTTATTCCCATTTGTCTCTATCTATTGGTGGGGAGGTATATGAAGGAACGAAACAGTGGATTGAGGAATGAAAGCTCGAAGATAAAGAGAACCGGGCTTTTCCAAAGAATTACTGCAGCTTTCCCACTCCCTTTGATTATCATATACAAAAAAATCTCTTCCACTTTCCTACCAAATCTCTCTTTATTCTGGCACATAAATGAAGGGATCGAAGAGATTATGGCAGATTATGTTCACCAAGAAATGACCCGAAATTGGATCTTGGTCTATTTGAGATTGTTCCTTTTAATCGTAATCAAAGATGTTTTCTTGGCTCTCGTTTCTTTTCCGAACAAATCGAAGAACCTAATGGATCGAACTAATGTTTTGGGCAGGTCGTTTGTTTTAGACCTATCATTGGAGTAGTAAACTTACCCTTCCGGTAGAGTGTCTATCTTTAATGGCAACGTAAGGGCTTGTGAGTGAGCCTCATGGTAAGCCGGGGAACCCGAGATTGCGTACCTACCACATTAGCCAGGGAAAGTTCATTCACTCACCGGACCGTAGTTCTTGTCGATTTGCACCCGCATCAGACGAGATAAGAATGTCTCGCACTGAGAAGGGAAGCGGCGAAGGGAGCACAAAGTCAAGTGTACTAAAGTGCTTTACCCTTGCACCAAGAATGTGGAAGTCCGACCTAGCTAGTCAAAGGGGAAAAGAGATAGAGGTGCACGGCCCACTGGCTCAGGCTAAGCGGTCCAACTCAGCCCATATGATATCTTGAGACTCTAATGGCACTCCTGCCCCTGAGGAGGATGCCGTTGGCGGCAAAACATGCAAGCACGACTCGTTCAAGTTACAAATAAAATAAAAGTATACTAAAATTCAATAATTGGACTGAAAATTTTACTTTTTCCAGAGTGACTTCTTTAGCTTTAAATCCCCTTTTTTAACCCCAACGAGGAGGAAAGTACACGGCTTAAGGCCTCCCCCTCCTCTCCCAATCGTGTACGGTTACAGTTAAGTGGTGCGATGGTGGTTTCTTATTGGCTGATAGTTGGAGGAAGACTTCACGATTATCCTCCATTTCCTGGAGAACTTGCATTATTTTAAGCCGCTTTTCCGCTGAAGCATCGAATAAATGCAGGTCCTCAAAAACCCTAAAAAGATGATCACTTCTAGGGCGTATATTTTGGCAAGCACGAAGAAGGCCAGTGGTTGGCGCTGACTGTGTTAAAGCCAGGACAGTGTGTGCGTGTCACCAAACACGTGCACCTGCACGGGAGGAAGTAACAATGAGTGAGCTGCTACACTCAAACCTGTTACTTTGCCCGCTGGGTTAGATTCAGCTCTCGCCACCTCTAACTGGGGTATCAGCCCCACATCAGAGAGTTTCCTCTCTTGACGCCACTTCATGCTCACTTCAGAAATGAAGCTAATAAGGCCTAAAGCTGAGCGACGAGTCCACTGGCATGAGAATCAAGCGAAGTAGAGCGATAAGCACACTATCGATTGATCCAAAGAAGCTTAACGACAACTTCCATTCCTGGCCCAGAAGGAAAGAGACGAAAGCAATCCCTTGTTCCATCTTTGGAAGCTAATGGGCCGCCCTTAGAAAACCATGAATCTTGACCCTAGTGAAGGTAGTCGATGAGAGGAATAGGTGGTTTCAAAAGAATAGAGTAATTGTATATGACGCTCTATCTGTATTGGATGGATGCCTTAGCTGTGGGATAGAAGGCTTTTCTTTCTTTTCTTTGATCGCCTAAGTCCTTGACTTGAACACTTCGCTGAAATCATGTATAAGAGGTCATCCCTTAGTGGACTGATTCAACCTTGTAGTATATCTTGCAGCCCTTAGACCGGTCTCCCCTCATTCATGCCTTCCTTCAAGGCCTATTCTTTTGGATATCCTTGTTCCCTTCTTTCCTGGAACATCCTTTTCTTTTGATTGATGGGACTTCTGTCTGAAATCCCTTGACCTAACCTCTCCTTGACTTGCCGCAGCCAAGTCTTCCCCAACCTCTCCTGATGTTCTTGGTGAGCTAGCCTGTCATCCACCGCCCCAACTGTGATGGTCCCCTTCGGCTAGTTCTTTCACAAGTGACCCTGTCTTCCATCTGCTTCTTCCTCCTAAAGGTTTGGTCCCCCTAGCCAAGTGGTTCTGTCTTTCTTCTAGTAGGTACTCTAGAGGTCTTCAGCCCCATGTTCCACAGATGGACAGCCGGGCCTGTACCTCATAGAACAGAAATCCTGTTTAGGAAGCTAGCGCCATCTATCTGTCAGCAAAAACCCCCTTTTTTCAATTATATAAAACCATTCCATTGGTTGGAAGATACTGGTACGCCGATACCAATCCTATGACCTTTATTCAAAGCTTCCATTCCTATTTCGGGAAAGTAGCTAGTCTTGTCCTCTTAAAGGCCTCTCGCCTTTCCCTTTCGACTGGCATTATCACACCGCCATCAACAGATTCAATAGCAGCTCCTAGCCCGATTCCAAGACCTGAACCTGGTTTGAAAGTTCAAACAGCCTTGATCCACTATAGAAAAGTACCAGTTTTCCACAGTGATAAGGACTTCGCCCGAAAGCATTGATTGGAGGTCTCATGGTGGCAAAGAAAAAGAAAGAGGAAGCGCTTTTGTTGCGCGAACCCCACAATAAAAAAAGATGGAACACAAGAAGCTCAGTAGCAAGGCCGTCTCATAGTCACCACTTGTCTGTCGTTTCAAGCTTCAAAACAAGCAGAAAAACAATATACCGTTGTCGGCTCGAAGTTCATAAAAAGAAAATGTCAGGTCAGTCACATGACTCATCCTGTTAGTCGAGCATAGCTAACGCTACCATGACGCTACGCTGCGCCTGCACTGACGTGACTTGCAAACAACGCTGACGCTATATAGCCATATACGCAACGCTCGGGACCACCTCCCTTCGCTTCGCTTCAGAGTCTTAGGCGCAGCTCTTCTAGTCAGAGAAGAGTCTAGTTTCGAACCTGTGCACTCCTAAACTATGAAAGCTTCTATCACGAATGGGAATCGTGTGATTCTTTCTATCCCCGTACTTTCTCGTTCTTATGGAGTTGTATTCCCTAGGTTATGCAGTTATCTTCCCTGGCCTGACAGTAGTAAAGGGAAAATCACTTGACCTTTTTAGCCTTTGCTCCTTCTTTCCGGTGCGCACTAACGGAAAACCTGAGATAACGACGTCTACTTCTTAGCTGCTGTGAAAGTTAGCGTCTTAAAGAAAGTAAGTGCTTGCTGCTCCTGCTCTTATAGTTAGAGAACGCACTAAAGGCATACCTTATATCAGGGGCATGAGTACACTGCTTTCACACTCGAACTCTCCTACTGTGTGCTGTGTGTGCTTTCAAGCAATAAGACTGCTTGCTAAACGAACCACTGCTGACGAAGTGCCCCCATACCTGCACTAGCACTTAAATCAAACCTTCTTTTAGGAAAGGGATAAGCTGTAGACATCTGCTTAGGTTATTAAGGCACTGCAGTCTTCTTCTTTCGAACTCGATGCTCTCTTGTTCTTTCTAGCTTTACTGCTGTTCTTAGTTATGGATGGGCTTTTCTTCCTGGTGCTTCCCTTCCTGCGCTTCGGTTCTTTTGAGACAATCAATCACTTTAGCTCTGCTCTGTTAGTACCAATTCTGACTCTTGTCAGTCTCCGAGGGACATAGAAGACTTGGAACTACATCGAAAGACTCAATTACATCGAGCCTTCCTCACTACCATCTCGAGAGGAGCAATCGGCTTGGGATGAATTTAACCTATTTTTTTCTTTCTCTCTCGCGAGCTTCCTTTCGGAGTCGACGTGCTTCCTTATTCGCGAGAATTTCCTCCCTCCGGTGCTGTCTGTCTCCTCACTAAGCGCTCTTCTTGTCCTTTCAACCTTTCCTCATATCTAAGCTTTTTGGCCTGAAGTCTTTCTTTAGCCTGATCAGATAATGGTGCTCTACTTTTGGACATAGGATTGGATATCACCCAATTCTTCGTTTACTAACGTAGAATTCATACTACGCCTGATTTGATGTTTCAAAGAAGTAGGTGGTTGTTAACCACCGAAGTCTAGTTGATGTTTACATATGTAACTTAACCCCTTATTCTATTTATATTAAAGACTTTGTCTTATGTCTTCTCTTTCCTGCGTGCTGGACGGATACTAACTCTTCTTCTTTTGATAAATAGAGGGGTGCGCTTTCCCTTTGAATGAGTAGATCTTCCCGACCCCGTGCCTACCTTTACTCAATGCTCCTGAAGTCCGAAAATGAGACTGAGTGGAAAGGGGGCAGGGAAGTTAAGTTACAGAAATGGTAGTCGTGGACTGGTACCGCAGTACTGCCTACTTTTGGTAATCCTTATTGTGATCTCTCAGTCAGCATAAAAATTTGATAAAGGGCGTGAGCACTCCACTCAAGTATGTGGAAGTGCTTTTCGGCTCATTGTGCTTGCGAGACGAGACGATCCTCGGATCGGTTATTTTCAAAGTCTGTTGGGAATACGTAAACGCCACAGTGCTATGCCGCATCAAAACCCGGCCATATCAACACTGTTTCGGGCCCCACGATTCAGAGATGGATAGAGTGTGGCGAATCAAGAGGAATGAGCTACCTTTGATACGGACGGATTATCCCCCACCGATGAAAAAAAAGAAAGAATAGACTGATCTAGAGGGGGAGCAGCGGAGTTTTCGCCTGCCCCTCAACGGATTAACTCGGCGTGCCACCCTCGGCTACAAGGTCCTTCCAGGACCATAATGAAGAGCACTGACTTGAAGTTCTGACTCTGCTCTTCTGGCTCACACCCAGTCCAGCGTTGTCTGTCTCCCTCATCAAGTGCCCTTTCTAGCCCACTCTTGGACAAACTCGGTTGGAAGTGCGCCCCTCAGGACGTGACCCTAGGATCAACTACACTCTTGTAGCACCCCATTGCCCACTCTGCGCCTCTGTACAAGTCCTCTAACTTGCTACCTCTGAACCCAATCTCGTCTCGCGTGGCTGTCACTGACCACTGTGCCTCTCTAGGCTTGCCTCTGTTTCTCTAGTAATGTGCCTCCACTCTCGGAGGTCTTGGCTCATACCCTTATGTACCTCTGTACCTCAGAACTCAAATACTCGATGCCTCACCAAGAGGTCTTAGCATTCTGCTCATCTTTGCCTCAAATTCACGGATGTGTCTGACCCCAGTCTTCACCCTGTACTGACCCTTGTGCCTGCAAGCAAGTCACCCTCATGGTTGTAATGCCCACAGAAGCCATGTACTAGTGCCTCGATTGAACAACCCTAGAGTTGTAGTGCTACCCCGTTTACACTTATCAGAACAAGTATCTTGCCTCATTTGCCTCAATCTCGGTGCCTGGTGGTCTCC